CAGCCCCCCCTCGCTGTGCAGAGAGCCCTGCTGGGCAGCTGGCGGCAGCGGGGGAAGGGCGGCTCAGGGTGCTGGGCGTGGGGGACTGCACCAAGGGCAGGCCCTGGGCTCTGGCAGAGGCAGCAGGGAGGCTGAGGAGAGGAGACGGGCAGGGGCCAGGCTGGGCCCCCTGCCCAGCGCTGTGCTCTCCTCCCAGCCGTCTGGGGGGGGGATCCATGGGCCCACCCTGTGTCTGCCCCCAAGGAGGTCCATAGCCCCGCCCTGGGTCTGTCTGGGGGGGGGATCCATGGGCCCACCCTGTGTCTGCCCCCAAGGAGGTCCATAGCCCCGCCCTGGGTCTGTCTGGGGGGGGGATCCATGGGCCCACCCTGTGTCTGCCCCCAAGGAGGTCCATAGCCCCGCCCTGGGTCTGTCTGGGGGGGGGATCCATGGGCCCACCCTGTGTCTGCCCCCAAGGAGGTCCATAGCCCCGCCCTGGGTCTGTCTGGGGGGGGGATCCATGGGCCCACCCTGTGTCTGCCCCCAAGGAGGTCCATAGCCCCGCCCTGGGTCTGTCTGGGGGGGGGATCCATGGGCCCACCCTGTGTCTGCCCCCAAGGAGGTCCATAGCCCCGCCCTGGGTCTGTCTGGGGGGGGGATCCATGGGCCCACCCTGTGTCTGCCCCCAAGGAGGTCCATAGCCCCGCCCTGGGTCTGTCTGGGGGGGGGATCCATGGGCCCACCCTGTGTCTGCCCCCAAGGAGGTCCATAGCCCCGCCCTGGGTCTGTCTGGGGGGGGGATCCATGGGCCCACCCTGTGTCTGCCCCCAAGGAGGTCCATAGCCCCGCCCTGGGTCTGTCTGGGGGGGGGATCCATGGGCCCACCCTGTGTCTGCCCCCAAGGAGGTCCATAGCCCCGCCCTGGGTCTGTCTGGGGGGGGGATCCATGGGCCCACCCTGTGTCTGCCCCCAAGGAGGTCCATAGCCCCGCCCTGGGTCTGTCTGGGGGGGGGATCCATGGGCCCACCCTGTGTCTGCCCCCAAGGAGGTCCATAGCCCCGCCCTGGGTCTGTCTGGGGGGGGGATCCATGGGCCCACCCTGTGTCTGCCCCCAAGGAGGTCCATAGCCCCGCCCTGGGTCTGTCTGGGGGGGGGATCCATGGGCCCACCCTGTGTCTGCCCCCAAGGAGGTCCATAGCCCCGCCCTGGGTCTGTCTGGGGGGGGGATCCATGGGCCCACCCTGTGTCTGCCCCCAAGGAGGTCCATAGCCCCGCCCTGGGTCTGTCTGGGGGGGGGATCCATGGGCCCACCCTGTGTCTGCCCCCAAGGAGGTCCATAGCCCCGCCCTGGGTCTGTCTGGGGGGGGGATCCATGGGCCCACCCTGTGTCTGCCCCCAAGGAGGTCCATAGCCCCGCCCTGGGTCTGTCTGGGGGGGGGATCCATGGGCCCACCCTGTGTCTGCCCCCAAGGAGGTCCATAGCCCCGCCCTGGGTCTGTCTGGGGGGGGGATCCATGGGCCCACCCTGTGTCTGCCCCCAAGGAGGTCCATAGCCCCACCCTGGGTCTGTCTGGGGGGGGATCCATGGGCCCACCCTGTGTCTGCCCCCAAGGAGGTCCATAGCCCCGCCCTGGGTCTGTCTCAGGGGGGAAATCCATGGGCCCACCCTCTGTCTGCCCCCAAGGAGGTCCATAGCCCCGCCCTGGGTCGGTCTGGGGGGGGATCCATGGGCCCACCCTGTGTCTGCCCCCAAGGAGGTCCATAGCCCCGCCCTGTCCGTCTCGGGGAAGGTGAGGGGTCCATAGCTCCACCCCGCCCTTTCCCCAGTGTTTGTCCCAGGGGGGCAGAGCCTCATCCCGGCCCCGTGTCTGTCCCCCTCACCTTGTGCCAGTCGGCAGGGGCGATGCCGTAGTTCTCTGCCCGCAGTTTAGACGCAGCCATGATGAAGTCCACGTGGCCGTTGCCTTCATCGTCCTGCAGAGCCGGCACAGGAAGAGCATGAGGAGCATGGGGGCGGGCGCACAGCCCGGCTGCCTGCTGGGGCCCCCGCAGCCACTACCAGTGAGCAGGGGCCTGCTTTGGGGAGGGGCAGCCCAGGGCACAGGGTGGTGCCAGCCTAGCGAGGGGAGCAGCACCCCAGCACATCTGACGTAAGCCACACGGGCACAGGGTCCCAGGCTGGCCCTGCCAGTCCCTGCCCAGGGCAGAGCCAGCCCACTGGTGGGGACAGGTGCCCCGGGCACATCTCCGGAGCCCCAGCCCTGATGATGCCAGCCAGGACTCCGAGCACCTGGGCAGAGACCCGGCCTGCACACGCCCCTGCTACCTTCTCAAAGTGGATGGGCTCCATGAGGCAGGGGCCGCTCCGCCTGCCCCCCAGCAGCTCCTGCCTCAG